CAAATATACACAAATTTTTACTCTTAAATCTGCTTGCTTGATTATTTTTCTTAATTTAATAAAAATTACTAAAACTAAACAGAAATATTTAAACAAACTAATATTAACAAAAATACTAAAACTTAAACTAAAATTAAAACAAAGTATAAAAATAAATGCTAATTCAAAATATTATTAAATATTATAATAGCATATAAATTATATTAAAATAACACTTTATTGACAAATAATATGTTAATATTTTGTCAACAATAAATGTTAGCAAATTACAAAAAATATATATATAAATCAACTTTGCTTGTGATTGATATTGTGGTAAGGCAATATGGTAAGCTCTACTGCTTTCTTGATTTTCTTTCTTAATTTAGTCTAATGTTAATTACACTCATTACCATGTTATTCTCTACACAAATATATTTTGGTAACACTTTGCAATAAGGTTCCATTAGTTAATGTTAGGTAATGTATTAACTAACATAAATGAACCATGAACAATACATTTATTAAAGTATTTATTCATCCTTGTTAATGTTAGTTAATGAAAATACAGTCGTTCATTGTTAGTTCATTGTGTAGTTAATTATTGTAAAGTGTTACCGATATTTTAATCATGTAATGTTATTTTCTCCTCTCTTTTCAGTGACAGGCTTGTTACTGGCAGCATAAAGCAGGCCTGAGCTGTTCTCAACGGTCAGAAACTGCTGGTAAGACTGTAATCTACTTTTTCTGGGGATCGTTTTTTTTCTGGCTCTAGCATTGGACCCAGCATCCTCTGCTCTCTTCTGTAACTCACGTCACTGTTCTTTCTCACCCTCTCAGGTGGCTGTTTCATCACGTCGTTTGTGAACTTCTCTCTAATGTCTAATCTAATGATGACATAAAACGTGTGAAGAGACGCTTCTCTCTTCCCCCGCAGCATGATGTCACCATCCTGTGAATTCTGCTTGCATAACCTGTCTGCATAGAAACAGTCACCTGGCAACAGTATCCAAGTCCTTTCTCCCCTGACGGAGGAACATTACTCTGATCTTGTAATGGCGGCTCTAAACAGAGAAGAGGAAAGGCCATTTTCTTTAGTGCGTTTCCAAGTGGAGGTATAGTCGAGGTCTCTGTGATCACAGATCACATGTGGGTTTCAATTAAATGATATTTAGAGGATTGACTGTGATGTTTGATTCCATGTTCTAGATGTTTTTGTGCATGAATTGAAGATGAGGTCTGAATTTAAATGTAATTAGAGATTCAGCATAATAATACTGTAAATCTGTTTAGTTAGTTTTGTTTTTGGTCAGTAAAGTCTTAATCGTTTAGATTTACTGATTTGATCATCTTTAAGCGAAAGGTAGCAAATAACAGTGCTCATATTTAAGTCAGCACAAAATAAAAATTTGCCTTTTTATTTTCTTATCCAAAATTTAAATGAGTTTGTTTCTTCATCAGAACAGATTTGGAGAAATGTAGCATTACATCACTTGCTCACTAGTGGATCCTCTGCAGTGAATGGGTGCCGTCAGAATGAGAGTCCAAACAGCTGATAAAAACATCACAATAATCCACAAGTAATCCATCCAACTCCAGTCCATCAATTATCAATTTGTGAAGTGAAAAGCTGCGTGTTTGTAAGAAACAAATCCATCATGAAGACATTTTTAACTTCAAACCATTGCAAAAATACGAGACCTCTATCCATAATATTGCTTTCTCCAGTGAAAGAGTCATCTAATCTGAATCAGGAGAGAAATATGCACATATTACGCACTGTTTACAAGGAAAAACAGTCCTAAATAATTCTAAACAAATATGTCAGTGGATTTCGATGTGAAAGGACAACAGGAGATGGACTTTTTCACTGGAGGAAGCGTTATTATGGATTATGGACTTGTATTTTAGCCGGAAGTGAAGTTTAAAAAAAATCTTAATGATGGATTTGTTTCTTACAAACACACAGCTTTTCACTTCACAGGACATTAATTGATGGACTGGAGTGGTGTGGATTACTTGTGGATTATTGTGATGTTTTAATCAGCTGTTTAGACTCTCATTCTGACGGCACCCATTCACTGCAGAGGATCCACTGGTGAGCAAGTGATGTACCGTAATGCTACATTTCTCCAAATCTGTTCTGATAAAGAAATAAACTCATCTACATCTTGAATGGCCTGATGGTGAGTAAACTTTCAGCAAAAAAATTTTTTTTTAATAGCAGTTTCACATGGAAACACGTCACAATATGGTAGTAAAGTCGATTCCAACTTCTGTTTCACGCTGACTTTAAAACTGCATGCCACTGTTGTAATCGTAATTGTCTTCAGCCACCGTTAAAATCTAAAAAGTCATTGTCTGTTGTGCTTGTTTCAGATATTATGCTAATAGGCTATGACATTATCAAGCCGTTGCATTAAATGTTGAATGTGATGTATTTTCTAATCCACTTCCACTGTAAAAGCAATGCAAAGTTCTAAACAAAATGTTGTAGTTCACATACACTTTATTAGCACTTACAGTGATTTTTGTTGTTTGACAAAACTTGCAGTATTGTATTTTTGCAGTAATGTATTTTTGTACAAGATTTTATGACTGCACAAATATCGAAAAGCATTTATATATACGATTATATAGCTACGATTTCCTTCACAAATTCATAGTTTACAAACCCAGAGGGCAGGAAGTTGGGACAGCGATTAGTATCAGACAGAGTGTTTCAAAGCCAAGTCAAGGGACAAAAACACTTCCATCAAGCTTAGATAGGATGCATATGACACTAAGAAAATGGCACACCATTTTAGACAGCCAATCGGAGAAAGAGAGGACAGGAAACTCACTTAGAGCATGTTTGACATTTAGACGGGCTCTTTTTGAGACTAAACTCCTGTTGTGCTGATGATTACTGCTGTATAAAGCAGCTGATCTGATGTGTTGTGCTGTTTAAACCTGTACTGGATATCTTATGCAATAAATAGATTTCAGACATTTTCGTTTCTCAATCATTTGATTCCCCCAAAAAAAAAAAAAAATCTAAATTTAGTTTAATTTCTAAAACAATATTGTAGGTGTAGATACTGAGAGAGCCTGTTACTGTTACTGAGTGAGCTGTGAGTTACTGTTACTTGCTCACAATATGAAACCGAGTGTCTCCAAACTCACTGTAGCTGTAGTAAAGCTCTGATATATTTGGATGTCTGAGGAAACAGTCATGCTCCTTTCATCTGCTGAGAAACTCAGGGATTCTGGGTTGCCAAGTGGCAAATGGCTTACAGTAGGAACTCTCTCCTCAATGCACACAACAAAACGTCACCTAAATGCACTCTTGCACGACCCTGGTCAAGCTGTGGTTTTGTTTTTAAGGACCAAGTGAGTTATCAACAGCATTAGTCAAACAGGTCTTATTTATAGTGTAGCATCATTTAAAATCTGAATATTTAATTAAGGTTAATGTACAAAAACAGCGACAAGCTACTTGTGCAAGCCAATAACTGATTATTTCCAATTCACTATGGTCAATTAATGCCTGTACTATGGAAGCCTGTTTCCACCATGGAATAAAAAAAGTAAAAAGGTAATTCACAATTCCGATTTTATATCTTTTTTCTCAGAATTGCAAGATAAAAATATAAATACAAAAAACAAATGGTTTTATGTTTGCTTGGTGTTTTATTGATATTTTGAATGAACTTTTATTGCTATATTTTATTTTTTCTGTTAGTTACATTTCTGGTAATTTTGCTATGTGCTTTTGTCATTTTTATTAGTTTTTTTATAATACTATTTATTTCTAATTGTAGTTTAAAGTTTTTCATTCAACATTTTTTATCAATATTTTAAATTAGCTTTTATTTTTATATTTTCAGTTTCAGTTTTTGTTTTAATATATTTATTAATAATTTAGTTCTGTGCTTTTGTGATTTGTAGTAGTTTATTGAAATATTACTATTTAGTACAAATTTTAGTTTTGTTCATTTTTTATGTCATATTTATATTTTATTAATATTTTGAATTAGATTTTTTAAACTATATTTTGTTTAAATGTAAATTTTTGTTAAATATTTTTAGTAATTTTGTTATGTGCTTTTCTCATTTTTATTAGTTTTTTAAAAATATTACTATTTAGTTATAATTTTTTCATCTAATACATTTATTTCTATTTTAATGAATATTCTGAATTACCTTTTGAACAATTTTTTTCAGTTTTCACTTTAATTTTAGTTTAATTTCTAGTAATTTTGTTATGTGCTTTTGTAATTTTTTTAATTAGTTTTTTATTTTAAGTTTTTCATCTAATATTTTGTTATTATTATTTTGAATTAGTTTTTATTACTCTATTTTCATTTTAATTTGAGTTAGATATAACTATAATTTTGTATTATGTGCTTTTGTCAGTTTTATTATCATTTTTTTATATTACTTTTTATTTCTAATCTTATAGTTTGTTTTTCATCTAATATTTCTATTTTGGGTTTAGTTCAGTTGTAGTTTTTGTTTATTTACAGTTATTCGTTTGAGCGTTTCAGCTTATTTCAGTTAGCTTTATTTCAATAAACAAAAATGTTTTAATAGTTTTAGTTAATGATAATAACCCTGACACTGAGGCATTGGTTTGGTTATGAACGGCATGCTTTCATTACCTGAGCATCTCTTGGTCTTTGTCCTGCTCTCTCTCTGGTATCCTGTTGGTGTTCGGAGCGAGTCCAGCCTGCATCAGTCTCTCCTGCTTGTAGCGGTTGAGTAGAGCCTGAGTAAGCTGAGGATCCAGAAGGCCCTGCCATGAGGCCCGGGGCTTTGCCATGCTCACAGCCTGCTCGGTCTCATCGTAGTCCGGAGGGTACGGGCCCTGGAAATCACCCTCCTCTTCCTCAGGTTTGCCCTGTCCGTTATTCTGTGCCTCGTTCAGGAGACGCAGC